TGATTATTAAGATCCAGTACTGATAAAGGGAACAAAGTTAGGTAACTTGCCCAAGATCACATAGCTTTAAAGTGATTAGACCCTGTATTTAGGCTTTCCACTTTCAACTCCACAGTACCACCCTTTGATTTTAAAGCACTTAAAAATATTTGTAAAATCAGAGGGTGGAAATGCCCTAGATTAACACGAATTCACTGAGCATTTTCTTGCCTAGATGATTACGAAAAATTTCCTAACCATCTAAAGACAGGAATCAGTGCTACAGAAACAATGTTTTATTCGGCTATTTTTTAAAAAGCAATATTAATCTCTAAAAATCAATATTAGACTCATTCTGGCTAAGGCTAGAAACCATGTTGCTCTTTTGCAAATATAAATACAGTACACAGGAGGATACTTTTAAAAGTTCATGGAAAAATATAATTAAAAGATAACAGGAATCTTTCCATGAACTTTCTTGAAGTACCCTCGTATGTTATCTGACAAATGGTCATGGGAATGGCCTACTTTAAAAACAAGCCTCTGAATCTTATCCTTAATTCAGTTTTTTTTAAAATCAAATACACAATTCTATTGTGACCCATGCTGCAGGACTGTGATCCAAAGACCAGGATCTACAACCCTCCTCTGCCATTCCCCTTCTTAATTTGAGGCAGAGGCAAAGTTCCTTAATGACCCTACGACTCACTTCCTTACCTATAAAATGGGACAGTAGTACCACCTCTAGGGACTTGTGATGATTCAGTGATTCCTTCAGCAAATATTTATGAAGTGCCTACTATGAGCGGGCATTGGTCTAGACACTGAAGATAAAACAGTAAACAAAGTCCTTTCTCTCAGTTTAATCTATGTTCCAGTGTAGGAAAACAGCAACATGCAGATAGAGATACACTGGTGACAAATATATTGGTGATAAGTGCTAAGAAGAATAAGCCAAAGAAATCAAACAGTGAAGGTGAGAGGCTCTGATGGTTTTAAGTGTTCAGAGAAGGCACAGACCTGAAGGGGGTAAGGAGTAAGGTGTGTAGGTATCAGCCTTAAAGAGGGGGGCAGAGAATTCCAGGCAGCAGGAATCAACGTGGTAAGGCCCTGCGGAGGGGTGTAGGTGGCTAAGGAGAGGCTGGTGGCTGAGACCAAAGAGGGGACTGGAGGCCATGTCAGGTAGAGCCCATAGGCCCTTTCATAAGCTTCTGCTTTTATTTCAAGTGAGATGGGGAGCTACTGAAATATTCTGAGCAAATAAGTGACAGAATTAGACCTAGTTTTAAAAACAAAAAAACTATGTGGTAGCTGAGTTAAGAAGAAAGAGGTGAGGCAGGAGACCACTTAGGCTACTACAGTAACTCAGGTGAGAGATGATGGCAGCTTGGCCCAGGGATGGTAGAAGTGGTGAGAAGTGGCTGGATCCTGGATAAATTTTGACAGGAGTCAACAAGGATGACCCCAGGGTTTTGGCCTGAGGAACCGCAAGGACAGAGCTGTCATTTCCCAGGAGGGGAAGGCTATGGATGGAGTTGGGGGTGGGAGAAGAGTTGGGAGCTCAGCTTTGAAAGCAGTAAGCTTAGGTGCCTGCCAGAAATCAGAGCAGAGATGAGGAAACCACTGGATCGCGGAGACTGAGACTGGGGTTCAAGGAAGAGGTGTGGACTAGAGCTGCAAATGTGGGCATCACCAGTGTGGGGATGGTATTTAAAGACTCCATAACTGAGAGCTAAGGACTGTATGGGCAAGGCCGTGCCAGCAAGAAAAATTCAATACCTCTTACATTTCTCTTTCAAAGAGGATTTTGTGAGTGATAGGGTCAAACTTTTTTTTACATGTTAGTTTCACGATTCCCAATCTTTATGTGTGCTACTCTATCACTTTAAAGAATTCACCATTTAAAGTCCACAGTATGTTTTTTTAATTTTTAAAAATTTTTTTTTAAAGATGACCCGTAAGGGGATCTTAACCCTTGACTTGGTGTTGTCAGCACC